GAGGAGCCACTCACAGCTGGAATTAAAGAGGTTGAATCAAATTGCCGTTGCATGTGAAACAACTCCAGAAAGAGCTTGGGAAAATGAATATAAATTCTTTGTGGTCACATTTTGAAATGTCACAGTAGGAAAAGCACAGGTTTAAATACCAGAAGTAACGATGGCTGGATTCCATTTACCCCAGGTGCTTTAATTTCAGTGTCCTGGACCCAATTCCAATGTCCTTTGTAAACGTTAAGCCCTGAACACTTCATCTGGTAAATGGTTGAATGTGAGAGGCTACAAGGGCTTAAAATTGGGTCAAGACAAATGGGACAGTACTTTTCAACAACATATTGCATTACCTTGATGAGCCCAAAAGTTGAGTTTTCTACTGCCTGATTTGAACATCTTCCAGGCTCTTGTCTCATTGTCAATAATCTATTTCATTGTTTTTGTCAAAACAACTTCAATAAGAAAAATGAAAATAAATGGTTGATGAACAAACCAAGTTTGTAATATAGCCTATTTTTATGTACGCATCTTAAAAAACCTTAATGTTAATATTCCTGTGCCATCCTCTTTGTTTACCTTTTTTTTATACTCCCTGGTCTTCCCCTGCTAACCCCATGTTTAAAGTCACAACTCATTGAATTGTAAGTAATTCCCTCAGGCAAAGTTGGCAGAAATGGGGAGATACGGAAAGTGTGCAAGAGCTCAAGATGTCTGCGAGCGAGCCCTCAAGCATTTAACAATTTGACAGTGGGACAGCCCTAAGTCCTCATGGACTTCGTGAGAACGTGCCTCAAAGTCTGTGATTCAGTCAGTGTGGACATTGGAATCGGGCCCTGGTATTGTGCATGCTTGCTCACGTTCACACTGGCTTATGGGGACAGAGAATTGTTAATGAAGAGTGAAAATGTATGCTGTGATAAAGTCTTTTGGAAGTGACATTTCAAAGTCACAGTTTGATTAAGGTTGCAACATTCAAGACAACATTCAACAGACACCATTACATTTGATTCTTATGAGGAATGATTTGTGGCAGTAAAAATAATCTGGGTGGTGTTACTATGTGTAATCATGACAACACCAAAACAATGTGGCATGGACAGAAGGAACAGCAGCAATTGATGAGTTACGAGAGCTGTTTACTGTGTTTCAAGGTGTTAAGCACATTAGCGTTCTTCTCCGGCTAAGAACAACATTTACAAAATGGAATTAAATTAAATTGGACCTTTTGGATGAAAAAAAAGGATACTAAACAGGGTCACTTCAAAGAGTTTGTAAAAAACTTTACACCTGTAAAGTTTTTTACAAACCATTTTACACCTGTTTTACAGAATTTCTTCAATTCAGGTCACTGTGACCTCACAAAAGTGTAATTTTGGGCCATAACTCAAGAACTGATATGCTAATTGTAAAAATCTCACAGAAATGTCTGATAAGATAAAATGATCTGGCCACACTCTTTCCAAAGTCATGACATTTTGAATATGTAAACTGCAACTTGAGTGGTTGGCGGAGGCATAACCGCGAGCCGGTAATTCCAGCTACATATGTTCAATCGTAGCTTCTTGTTGAAGTTCATCTCTAAAAAGTGGCTTGACTAGAACTCCACTTAATGCTGAATTCATCAAAACTGTGACCTTTATGTTATTGGGTAGTTTGTCTATGTTAAATTGCCTGGAAGTAACTATTTTCAAGGTATCTTATCTTGGATGAGCTTTTGTGGTATGACAGCTGTGCTTCTGAGGGCTATGGGAAAATGGATGTTTTCTTTTGCTTGGGTTGAGTGTCAGGTCTAAAGTGATACTTGCTGATGTGATATATATGTCAACGCAACATTGGCCGGAAGGTTCTCCTTGGAGCAGACATTTATTAGAGCACCGTCAGCATATTGGACGAGGCTATAAATCGGTTGATGTAGAACACGATGGCACAAGTCCTTATGTGTATTTCTATGGGCAGCAATCTCTGACAAGCAGGCCATCCATGCTGGGGAGACAGAAAATAGAGGGGTTGGACTTTGAGTTAAAGCATCCTCATCATTATCATCATTATTGTTATACAACAATTAATGCATCACATCTTTATACTTTTTTTTGTCCTGTGTCTCTGCTCTAATCAGTTTCTGTTATCATTTAATACTTATTTCTCCACCCTCACCTATCTTTTCAGCACACTGACCATGTTCAGATGCCTCCCTTCTCATTAGTTTTGTCCGGCAACTTCCTCTTTTCTCGTTTATAACCTTCATCCATCCATCCACGCACCCATCCAGCTATCATCCAACCATTTATTCACCCATATACGTTCATCTGTCCATCCAGCCAATCCTTTATTTTCCTCCCACAGTGTCAATTACGTCCGAACTCATCCCTTATCCTGCGTTCACCTGTGCTGTTACTGTATGTCTCTCATCCTTCCGCTCCCTATTTCAGCACCCATGCTAATTTATCTTCTTCCAATTCCCTTTTTGCTCGGCCCTCCGCCCTACTATTCTTCACTCTTGGTGTCTTCTGCACAACCTCACCTCCCTGCCCCTGCCCTGATCCTTTTATCCCCACATTCACTTGTCTCATTGCTGGCTGTCTCATTGCCTCTCCTTCACATCTGTTACTTACACATGTATCCTCTACAGTAGTCTTCTCTCCTCTTTTGCTTTCCCCTGCAAATCATTTCACCTTCGACAATCCCCCATGTCTCCGTCTTCCTAACATTATAATATATTATTCTGTATCATTCTCTTATTGCCCCTTTCTGACTTTTACTACTACCAGCCCCTTATTTACTTCATAGAAATGACATGTACTGTCCTTCTCCCTCACTCCCCTTCTTCTCCCTCACCCTGGTGTCCTTATTAGTCAATAGGACATGCCCCCTAGTGTGCATTTAACAGTCTCATTTGGGTAGTTTGAATACTTACCGATGTTACATTAGTAGAGCTTCAAATTATTTTTTAGCCTGCAAATCCAGTCAAATACAGACAAATAATTTAAGTTTATAGCTAAATGTATAAAGGCAAGCATGGTTTTATGTGCTCATCTTCAGACAATCATTTTTTCAGTAAGCTGGTTGAGGAGTGACTCATATATTAACACATGGTGTTGATTATTGTAAAACACTATCACAAAATGTTTTTGCTTGCATATCGAGCCACATTATGCCATGTAGCCTGTTACTCAGTGGGAAAAGGAAAAAAAATAGCTGGTAAATTAATTTGAAAAATATCAATCTTACTCACACTGTAAACTCAGCAGGGATTATTTAGGTTTAGCTTTCAGCTTGGTCATGCAAAACCACCCACCAGTGGGAAATACACAGGTTTTACATAAGATCGACGGCAAAGCCTGCAGCAAGTAGCCAGAAATCATTGACGTTAATGATTAAGCTTAACTCGATGAGTTATACTACAGTTACATTCGTCGTGCGACAGTCTACCATGTCCTCAGAGTTATTGCCAGTAAGAAGCAAATCAACATTTTGTTTCAGTAGGTGACAATCAAGAACAAAACAACATAATAAGAAGAAATACAAAGTTGTGTATTTTAGTTACATTTTATAAAAATACAAATTTATTTTAAAAAGGTATTGAAAAAGCCTAATTTTGGTTTCACTTTACAAAAGTGTAGTGGTAGTGTTGTGGGTGGGAAGCCAGTGGGGGATCAGTGTTTCAAATTCATAGATATTTGGGTATTCCAGATTAAAATGTGCTCACTGGGTCACCGGCGTAATCCTTAAAGAGCGATAATACTTTTGTGAACAAAGACTTATGCTGCAGTCATATGAGACCCTTAAATTGCTGTGCTTTAAATACTACAACACTGATAACCCCAACTCATTGTTTTATGTCTGTTACGGCCTATTGATTGTGTCTAGGGGTACACATGGAGTAACATAACTATTTATTGAAAAACAAACTAAATGAAAAGAAATGGCAGCTGGAACACTTGATTAACCATGAGTAACGTTTATTGATAAAATGATGATTAACAGAAACAAACCAACTAAAATGGAAGCAGGCACATCAGGATCTCTAAACCCAAATGAATAAACAGAACCCCCAAACTAACTAGAAAATAAGGAGTTCAACTGTCCAACAGAAACAAACAGAAAAACAATATGATATCCAGCTCTGCTGACGGACTGATGAGTCTGAGGTGTGGGTGCTTCAACCACTGAAACGGGGCGTGGCAGACCTGAAACCAAAAGAAGCCAGAGTAAAGTCAGTGGGCGTAACAGTGTCTCTTATTAACCTGGTCTGCAGTAGCCTTAATGGCAAATCAGCTCCCCGGACATTTGTTCTTGTCTTTTCATTTAATTTGTTTGTGTGTGTGTCATCAGGGTTAGGCAATCAAGAGTAGGTCAAGTGTCCAGACAGACAAGCAAACCATTCAACCGTGCCTTGACACAACTGTCTGGTCAGTGCTCATCATTCACTTGAAGGTTTCTTATCCAGTAAGATTAGATCATGTATTTATGTTGGTCAAGGTTTGCTCAGATATTTCACATGGGCTGCATCTTCATCTCATTCACCCTTTGTATTTCTATTTGTAGGTAACATTATTGTAGTGACATTTGAATTTTCATTTTCCCTAGATCTCTGAGCTGAAACCAAACTGTACATCCAGGAATGTATAAATCCATCCGCCCATCTAAACCCCTTTCATCCACTCATTCATCCATCCCTTTGTTATTCTTTCCAACTTTTCCCCTTGCTTCTTACACTCCCTCTATTTCTACCTCTCTAATTGATTCTCCCTCTCTTGCTTGCTTTCTCTCTCTCCCAAAGCCCATGTATGATATGAGCGCCCTGCTCCAGTGAACAGTGAGCTTTTTTTCTTCCTCCAGAAATCCTGCCGGAGAGAGAGACAACCTTGGCTAAAGACTTCATGTAAGCAGTTCATTAACTCCTCAGCTCTGGACCCCCCCACACTCACATTTTAATCAGAGAATACAGACTGAAAACACTCCAGCAGGAACTATTATGCAACCGTGACCCTGGTCTCCGTGTGCTCTAGCAGTGAAGGCATTGTGGGGCAGGAAACACCAGTCCGTTGATTGAGAGGACTAATTAAAAGGGCTTTATTTAATTGTCCTTTTAAACTGGCACCTTCTGCACAAGAGACACCTCCTAAACTTGGGTTTGGGAAGCCGGCCCTGTGCTATGATACATTTTAATTTCACAACAGAGGGTTGTTATTGTTCTCAGCTGCCACTTGCAATGGTAAGCAATGGAGTCGTTGAGGTTGAATAGAGCGTATGTCACTGAAATTGCCAGTGTTGTGGGAATGGTTATCAACAAAGGGTGCACTTAATGTGACAATCTGTGCAGGAAGATGCTTCATATAAAAGCATCTACTGGTTTCCATGTTAAGGAATACATTTTGCCCTGGTGACCTCTGTTCATCAGTGCCAAATGAATGGCTTTGTGTCTTGAGAAAATGTAGGTATGACTTCAGAAGTTGAATTATATTTTAAGTTTTCAATGGTGTGTGCGAGGCAACACGGGAAGAATCCAAATGCAAATAGGGAAAAAAGATTTTCTCAGATTTTTAGAAAATACTTAGATAGGCAGGTACTTGTACAGAAAACAATGGCATGGCACATCAACATAGCATCACAACCGTGAGGGGAAATTAACCGGTATAGGTAGCCTACAACATGGCTGATTATGGAAAACGGGAAGCAGTTAGTTAGGGAAAGTCAAGCAACTGCAGGGCTGATAAGTGAAAGTGAGAACAGGTGAGGAGGTGGGTGGAGAAGGTCAGGTGACTGGGATGGAGGGTACGTTTTTGTTTTTTTTAGACCAGGGTGGAGGGGCTGCAGTCACAGTCAGTGATATGACTCCGGCAGGTGGAAAAGTGGAAAGGCATTTGGTGGATAGAAAATGTATGGCACATAAATTTTCACAATATGTGCCACATTATACATTATGAGAGAAATTGACAATTGCCAAATGTATAGCTAACAATTCATGCATCATTTTTTAGGAGCTGTGAAATCAAAACATTACCACTTCCATTGAATACGTGAGTTGGTCACATGCACCAGCCTGAGCATTGTATTATTTCCACCTCATCCCACGATTCCAAATAATTGAAGTCAATTGTGATTATAATCTGATGTATGGTATTTAGTTGCCCTACTACGAGAGATGTATTCCTACAGATAGTAGCTCTCTCGTGCCCCACTCTTGTTTTATGCACATCTGATTCTGATTTTTGACTAAAAGTTACCTTAAAGTGTCACTTTGTCTCGGTTACAGTTCAGATAACTGAAAGCTGAAAACTGTTGAAAGAAGCCACCGTGTAGGTAAAAAAATAAATAATAATGAACCACACATTCAATCAGTAATCAATAAATGCATACTGGGAATGTATTCCTTTGCTGTTTTTGCATTTTGTTTCCAGTGAAACTGGATAGCGCAGGATGTTGCTGCTTGAGCGAACAGATCCTGTATGACTATAACAACAGCAGCTGGTATGAGGTGTGGGAGAACCGACTCAAAGTTAGCCGAAGAACAGATGGACCAGCTGGTCTCTTCTGGTGGGTTACCATGGTAATGTGGATTTGACCTTATTTGTGTCTAATATTTCTACTGCACCCCCACAGCACCGAATCCTTTCTTTAACAATGTCGGCATACATTTCCATACTTTTAAACACATAAACTTACTCACATAGATATCCATTTAAACACGTTTAACTTAGCCATCAAGAAAAACACACGCGTATACCCGTTTTGCCCACACACGTATGTACACCTATTGCCAGCAGGATCCAACATCACCCGCTGTGCTTAGAGTCACAGTTGCCACTTTCGTTCAACGTGCTTTCTAAACCCAAGGGAGGTCTCTTGTGTTCCTCATTAGCATAGGTTCTGTCCACAGCGTGAGGCCTGTCATCAATCTTCCACTTAACTTAAGATATGCAAACTTGGAGCAAAAAAAAGGAGGAGAAAAATTCAGACCACAGAGGACTGTGCACAAATCGGAGTTTAATGCTGGTTAGCAGATTAGATCTGCGTACTTTGTGAATTTCCATCATTTGGGCCCTTAGAGTATATGTCTGAGAAAAATGCCACAAAATCTACATTTTTGTTGATTGGTCTAAGATCTTGAAATCTGGTAGTCTACAGACACACTTTGGGCAAATGCGTAAACATACAACAAAACACACTTGTATCAATATTCTTATCAGGATTTTAGAAAAATTACAGAAAACCCATTGACATTTTTAATACTGCATTTGTGGACATATTTTTAAAATTCAACTTGGCATGAGTTCATGGATAGCAAATACTAAATTGTGCTCCCCCTTGTAGTTTCTGAGATATAGCCATGTTCTTACGAAACTATATTTAGTCTTTGGGTGAATAGCGCTTTTGTTTTCCTAAAATATAATGACATGTAAAGAAAACAAACCTGTAGTTCCATGCGCCCGAAGACTACATAGTATCATAAAAAAGACTCACTATTCAGCCAAGTGGTTTGACCCATTTTGAAAATGCAGATTCTAAAAATGTTCCAGAGTTGTGCTGAAGCCTAGAGAACACTTCTACCAAAGGTAATTCAAAATTCCAGTAGCATTTCGGTGTTAACATGTATATCTACTTTATGTTTCATAAAGTCCACAGAGATTGTGCTTACAAGTAAAGAAACGGATGTTTCTGTTTCCAGGTAACCTTTATGGCTAAAATGCATGCAACTGCTTCATAAAGTCATAAATAGATAATTTATGCGCTTAAAGATTACACTACACTACAGTGATCTAAATTAATAAAGTCAGTGTACTTATATAAACTGTACTACTTTTCTTGTACAAGAAACCCTCAACTACCCTAAATCTGAGCTGCTTAACTTTGTATTAGATCCCTCCTTTACTGGCTGATGAGCTCTCTCTTCCCTCCATCAGTCTGGTCTTTACTCATCCCAGTCTCAACCTGCCTTTTCATGGCCAATGCCAAAATGCCTTAAAAAATAAATGCTAAATGCATTGATTTCAATGAGGAGCTACTAACTGCTAAGAAGGCAGGTTTTCCTTCCAATAAAAATAGTGTCCCTTCTTAAGTGCATGAAGCCAGGAAGCTCTGTTGATGTATAGAGATTCTTTTTATTTTTTTTGTCATGCAGTGGTAATGTTAATATGCATGTATCTATGTAAAACAGACAAAAAACAAATACATGCCAACCACATTAATGAGTTTACATTCTGATACATTACACATGGGACATCAGCTTGTTTCTTGCTCCATGTTATGTGGATTAATGGCCGAGTGCATTCATAGTGCTGTATATCTGCAGTATAATCTAGATGTTGAGGTCACACCAAGCTGCTTAATAGCACTGGTTCCTCTGTAAGTACAGAGATCGGCTTTTCCCATGACCCTCCCCTCTCTCTCTCTCTCTTTCTCTCTCTCTCTCTCTCTCCCACACTCTCTCCCACACTCTCTCTCTCTCTTCTCCCCTGCTGTAATCCTCACAATGAATGTCTTTTGCCTAAACTGCAGTGTCAGGGGTAACACTGCTTCACACTCTGAATAAATGTAAGATTTAGGTGTACCAGTTTGTGGACATGGGGCAGAGTAAAAGCATACATCACTGGACATCTAAAATATTGACTTTTACCACAAATAATGCCAGTGTAGTCCTTAAAGAGCACACAAGGACATAGGGTTAATGTTGTAAAACGATTGATTAGGTTTAGGAAAGAAAACTATCTGTTTAAGTTTAGAAAAAAGATCATGGTTTGTTTTAATATGATGACGTAAGGCACCAGCCGTAACAACGTAACTATCGGAAATTTACGTAAACACAGGACAGGACCAAGGGTCTCTTACTTATCAACATACCATCTGAAATTCATGTAACCTAACGTTCAATATCGGTTGCTCGATATATCCCCTCACTTGCTCAATGCCCCGCTCGCTGCACTAAGTCACTTGCTATGAGCAAATGCAAAAATGTCCATATTCATGGTATCCCTGGTAAGACTCATACACTGTTAGGACCACAGTTAGGATTGCAGATCATCAAATCAAAAACTTTTTTATAACCTATAAAATTGTGACTATTTTTCAGATGTGTTTCAGGCTCAATTCATTGCATTTTACAGCAAACCCCTCATCACTTTAAGTTGGTCATAAAAGACCCATTGGTTTTGCATCTGCATTTCTATTCCTGTATGTACCTGCACTTCATTTAAAACGACATTACCAGGCATGCTAATGGCATATGAAAGAAAAAGAAAAGAGGTGAGGTGTTTCATCGTTTTGTTATTTTGTCTCGTATGTATTCTAACACAAACACAGCAGCTGTAATGCCTTGTTTAAATGAGATGGTTTTGATTAAAATTCAGTTGGCCCGTCGCCCAGGCCACACAATTGCATCTATTAATTTATGCACTGGTCATACAAACTGCAGCAACTTCATTATTAAGTGTAGCCTTCAACTCAGAATAATATGTTACCCTCAATACCAAATGTTATTTAGTTTCCCTGACGTACAAAATCTATTTGTAATACTTTCAGTTTAATTAACTGACATTGGAACTTTCTAATTAGATGGGAAATATTTGTGTCCCAGATTGTAATGTATGAATTCAGTGTCTTGTGTAAAAGGTGTGAAGACGATGAGAAACAAAACAACAAGTCTGAATATGGCATTCAGTGAGAGCTTTTGAGTGTCTGGGAAATACAGCTAGGATGTTACCAACACAAATAAAGAAACAGATGTGCACTAAGTAATTTGTTGGAGGAGAGCACAAGCCAGGTGCAGAAGCTGAGATGTGTCCTTTCACCTCCTAGCGTGGGAGACCCAGTCGCTGGTACCGTGCCATCTTCTCTACAAGCTCCAACTGACCTCTTGCAATAAGAAAAACTTGGTTGCTATGGTATCAAGAGCAACTTTAATGATATGCTGTTGCTACAGAATGTAGAGGCTTGATACATACCAGTTAGAAGCTCCCAAAGAGTGCACCATACCTCCCGAACTATGGCGACAGCAAAAGGTGATTTGAACAACTATTTTCTTTAAGTAGCGCCCAAGTAGTGGTGAATGTTGCTCTCCATTTGTATTATAATTGCACAGGATACCATTACACCATGAATATACAATGCATAAACCAAACGACGTGTCATACAATTTAAGATTTTGCACAAATCGTCCAAATCTCTTCCCTAATGTTGTTCCACCATTATTTTTGATATAGTCATAACACAGTTGAATCGGTCCACACAGGCAAGACACACAGTCTTCAGACTATAGTGGAGTGATCTCTGGAGGCCAGTGAGGATAAACATCCGTAAATCTGTTTAGAAGGAAAAAAAAACGTTCTAATATTTTTCATATTAGACCAACTCTATTTTCATCCGAGCCTCCTCCAATTAGGCTCAACGCAACCTTTCATTTTTTGAAAAGACGGCTCACACACCTCTAACCTTTCCCCCTGTTAAATAATTTAAACTGTGCACATTTAATACATTATACTATGTTGTTTATTTAGTGAGAAGCTTAACTTACAGTATATGCACACCTGATGAGTAGAAATGGCAGTAGAAAAGTCAAGAGGATTTCCCACCACTTGTAGTTTAGGCTCTGTCCACTTCTGGTTCAAATACAGATCCGGATTCAGATATTATTATTAAATAAACAACACAGAAAGCAGCTTTCTGTCACATCCATGTGGGATGACATGAAGCACTGATCGGTGTTCAACCTCTTTTGAACCAGGCCAAAATATTTGCCTGAAAAGAAAACACTGGCAATAAGCTTTCAAAACTGATGCATGGAATCCTTATGATCTTGTTTTAACTTTGTTGTAATATCTAAAGACTTCAATTATTTTTCAAGTTTGAATTTTTAAACAAAATTTGACTAAGCTCCAGTGTTGCCAATCATGTTCAAAGAGAACAATGGACAAATGCTCTCAATATAATCCTTTTCAGAAACTCTTTTTTTGATCTTACATTGAAATGTTAATTGAAGCTTCTCATCTGCCCCGTGTAGTGTTTCTGTTCCAAGAGCGTGTGGAGCGCCGTAGTACATCGAAGGAGGTCGTTCGTCACTGATTCTGGGGTTATTTTTAACTGTCCCCCGTGCGCAGGTCTAATCAGAACAGGATGTTCCTCATCAAATTAACCAGGAATATATTTTCATGAAACGAGACTGGGTCTGCACATGTACCCCATGATGTAGCAGACGAAGTTCAATTACACATGTGGGTTAGGCTACTGGGTTGAGTATTGCAATTTCTCCACTTCAGCTGATAATCAGAGGTGGTTAAGCGTGTTAGTTACTTCTTAATGACGCAATAACACAGAGACAAAGTCATATTTGAAATGAATGAAAGACTGAAAGACATTTATTGGTAAATGGTAATATAATTTCTTTCTGAATCTGAGGTATTTATGACAGTTGCTTTAATTAATTTTGCCAAACGAAACACAAAAATAAACGTATGGTTATTTTTTTTTGTCGTGTTATTTCAGGTAAAATTCCTATATTCTACAAAGATAAGATCAATTTCCATAGACAGCAAAACACTTTAGGCCCACATAGTTCCATATATTCAAATGCAATATGCCTGGTGATGGTTCCACATTAGGTGAAACATCCTAAGCATTGTTTCATGTAACATACTGCCACTAAGCAGCAAATCAAATCGGAGGTATGTGTGCATGACACCACATTATATCCTTCAGAGGAAAAGGAGACGGGACAAAATTAAATGAGATTCGGCCGGCATCTCCACACTAAACACCACCTCGAGTGTTTCTGTGGCTCTTTCACACTGGGAGAAACAGAAAGAGAGAGACCGAGTATGTTTCCCATCTGTGTAACACTCAGCGTTCCGGGCTATTGGCTGGTTTACACCGTTGTGCTTCTCCTCGAGCTAACAGCTTGGCATGTCAGGCACAGGAGAGCTGTTGTTCTGCTTGTGTGCCCCCTTTTATTTATATATCTTTTATCCAAATCTTTTATCCCTCATTCTACTTAATACATCTCTCTGACTGTTCCTGACTGTCCTCTCACCTCTCCATCTTTGAATCTTTCATCTCTCCCGCCTTCTGTCTCTCTATCTTCTTCTCTCCTGGGTTGACAGTGTGGAAAGTTGATGAATCAGACTGCATGGGACAGTCTGGCATTTGAGTGAATCTGATGTGGTTAATATGGTGCCTGCTGACAGCGCTGTGGAAATTGTTCACAGTGGAGGAGCACTGAGACACAGCTACACTTTGGCCCAGCTGCCCTCACTCACTCTGCTGCTAGTGTATCAGCATAGGGGAAGCATGTGTGTGTGTGTGCATCCACATTTGTTTCCTGGGGGTCAAAGGTCAGCAGAATAAGGCGCCTTCCTTTATTTTTTGCCTACACTTATCATCCTGTCTCAAACAGCTATTCCTTCAAGAGTTCACATCACCATGACAGTGATAGCTTTGAGCTTCCCTGGACGAATTAAAGTGATACTCACATCCACCTCTCATCATGGCTTACAGGCAACAAAGTAGGTTCTCACAAAACTCATGTTACATAATTACTTTTTTTTCTTCATTGCCATAAAAAAATCGTGATTATTTAAATATAGTGGTTTAGGTTTTATGCCAAAAGAGTCACCAAAAGACCCTTTGAACTGTAACTATTGAATTTAAATTGAATTAAAAAAACACACAATTAGAGGTATTACATACTGAATCGATTTATTCTCAAATGACAACAGTGGAAACATTATTAGGACACTGTATTTTTAAATATAGTTTTTGTGGGCATTTCTATGCCTTTATTATATATTTGACAGTGGAGCAAGGGCAGAAAATAAGAAGGGAGAAATATCGGGAATCACAAAGGTCCCAAGATGGTCTCAAACTGGGATATTGTGGATAATAATTAGTACTTTAAACTCTTATAAGCTACCAGGGGGGGTCTTTGAGACCCATGATTCAAAATTATCAATACAATGTTTTTTTTTGCAGTTACATTATTCAACTGTGTAACTTCTTCTATTGTTGAGTTGTGAATGTTTGTAGGTTTTTGCACCATTAATGAATCTGTGTGCTGTGGTTCTGCTCATATTTGTGCATGCGTGAACATTTCTGTGCAACTTCAAATATGCACACACACACCGAGATATTTCTACATGTCAGTGTGTGTGTGTGCATGTGGATGCTGTGCATACTCAAACTGTGGATTTCTCTGTGCGTGTGTAAAAAACATATGGTGAGTCAGTGTGTAGGAGTTAAGCGGCAGTGTGCCTGTAGGAGGAGGGAGAGCTGTTAGGTGGTGATGAAGAGGAAAGAGGATTCAGGTTGTGCACCAATAGGTGGCACTCTACCCTTTTGTGATTGGCTACGGTGGCCAAAGTCAGGTCTGGAAGCACATGTGTTTGCATCCCAACGGAACAGGAAGTTGGATGATACAGCTACCTTTTGTTCAGGCCTCTGGTTATTTCTGCTGCTGGCTGCTCTTAGTGTAGAGGAATAAAAGCAGAGTGCGAGGAGAGTGTGACTTGGGGGAGGGGGTGGAGTTTACACCACTATTGGTGATTGAATGGAGAGTTATCACTGATGGGGTTAGAAGCTCACTTTCCTTTAGACATTTATTTACAATGCATGCCTTTATGTGTGCCATTACGTGGTGTAAGTAAAAATAACCCCAAAAACAAAAAAAAACATTGAATGACTGGTTTCATGATTTGGAAATGTACTTCATGTATGTTTGTTCATGTTTATATATAGGCTGTATTATGTGTCACTGAATGCCAACCAACACACAGTGTCGTAATCTGTAGTTAACTGTAGTATAACCCATTCAGAGTACAACACATTGAGACATTGAGACTGATATATATATATATATATATATATATATATGTAAATGAGTCACTGACTAAAACAACATCCCTATAGTTTTCTCATTACATCTCATATAACATCATTACTATCATCACCGGGAGCGATAAAGGACTCACATTTAGTGTACAGTAGCATTCATGTGTGAAATGAGAATTATTGGCTTCATATCGTGTGATTCAAAGTAAAACATGGAACTGGTTTGATTAAACCATTGTGATCTTCTACATAAGGATAGACTGCAATGATTCAAAAATGTAATTTACATGTCCTAGACTGGAAATTGTGGCTATAAAGATTAGAAAATGTCCAGCTAAGTAGGGCTTCAGAGATTGCATTTTCAGTCTTACAACAAAGATTGTATTTTCAAAATAAGCAGAGCTTCAAATGTTACTTTTAAATTCTATATCACAGTGGCATTTTTATACAAAATGGAAGAGAGAAATTCATGTATTTATATACATAACCTGGCTTTATTGAACATAGTAATATACAATCATGTGGGAAAAGTGAGCAAGGTTTTACCTATTAACAGGGGACAAGAGACCTGGATATGCAAATATTATTTACTGTTGCAGTAAAAACAGGCCTTCCTGATGACAATTAAAACTAATATAGAGGAATGTGTACAAGGAGAATGTGTGGATGAACTAAACTGCTTGAAATACAAAAGTTGGTGGTCTTGTCATTCAAACCAGTACAAATGTTAATGCAGTGCAGCTGATCATCAAGCAGGGTCAATTAGTTGGAATACAAATAGCAACCTACATAAATACTTAATCATATTCACAAAATATACAGATACAAATAATGATGTAGAGCATTCATTGTCTTCTAAATTGTATCCACAATTTCTAGGCAAATGACTTATGAAGTGTAAAAATGAAAAAAGAAAAGAGATTAACGCTGACGAAATGAAACAATCAATAAAGCCCATGCCTGTGGAATAAAATTAAATGACTAAAGGGCAGTTCATGGCCGCAGTCACCATAGCAATATAATTCTATATTCTATGGAGTTTACAACCTTCTACATTCAGCAACCCTAACAAGGACATAAAGGGTCGGAGGTCATGCAAGTGCGGTTCTCGCCGTGGTGCGATGGAGCTGAGCCGCTAGGCTGGGGTCAGAGGGCAGATCAATAGTGTCACTGATAAAAGCTAACGAGCTCAATCAAATGAGAAAAAAAAGCACACTCAGTCACGTGCACACACATCCATACACACCATCCCATTGCAGCTTATTTCTGTTGGACTATTCCACTGAAGTTTACTCAACCGCTGGAGGTGGGAGGTCGTTGGTGTTCTGAGACTCCATTGGGTTTGAGCCAACAGTTCTCTAGCAGTCTTAGTTCACTGGCAGTCAGGTTTTCCCGCAAAAGTGCCTGACCTACAGGGCAATAGGAGCTGAAATGCCCCGTCTCATCAGCCTCTGCCTCAAAAACAGAAGGGAGGAAGAGGGTGATGAATGAAGTAGAGAAAGAGGGAGGATACAAAGATAGTTCATACAGTCTGACACCACTGTTTTCTTAGTCCTCAGGGGTACAAAGAAAAAAGGACATGCAACAACAGGCCTTTGAATAAAGAAATCCTCTGCACCCCATAATTGACACTGGAGACTTGAGTTTGTGTCCTGTCACAAGTTTTCCTTTTTATGTAGCCTAACCCATAACCCTACCTCAGTCATATCATAGTTGTAATTCATGGATATTGTAGAAAGCAATAATTAAAAATCCTTGGCACCGGATGTAATCCGAGGTGTTGTAGAATTGTCCAATAAGTTCTGGTGATAAGAGTTGCTTGTTTGCAACCAGTTCATGAAAGACTTCAGAATATGGTATTAAGCAATGGATCCAAACCGTGGGGGTCCAACCAGAGTCTATATTGCATTGTTATAGCATTGCATATATTTATTCTGTGTTAATGATGAAACATTTGAATCATGCATTATCTATTTATGTTATCAGGATTGTTGAACTGAGCTCCACCATTCTGGTCTCGTCACAAGTCAAAGGGCTCACAGGAAATATACATTACATTATTATTATTATAATTACATCAAATGAAGAGTTTCCTTCCAAACCCGAATAAAACCCCAAACCATAACACAGTATTAAAGAACCAGGATGTCATGTTGCTTTTGTTCAATACATTATATAGATAGGTCCCTCAGTATGAGCAAGATCGATTAAGAACACATGGGTAATTTCCCCCTATTGTACAGCTTTATTTAACATAAAGTCTGAATGAGAATTTTCATCAAAATCTAACACCCACTAAAGAACCAGAGGAAGTGTACCGTTTTCAACTGTACTGTCATCTTTTGGCACCGTGTGCAGTTTTTTTCTTCCTATTTCAAAAGGTGCCTGTGTTAATAAGAGACACCTTCAATGAGAACATCCTCACGGATGACGGATGTCATGAGGAAGCAAACACACATCAGTTTATATTTAGACACCACATGGCTTAAACATGTTACAATATCTACTTAATTAGAAGCTCTGCATAATAATATGCAAATCCACACAAGTGTTCATTGAATTCATATTCATGAAAATGTTTTGGCCTTTTGTATAATTGATGATGATAGGTTTAGGTGTCTATCTTTTGCTGCTTTTTTAAAAGAAGCCTGCGCTGTCATCTCAAAAAAGAATTGGCAACCAGTGTAAGCATCCTTTAACATTAAACCGCTACAATAAGCATAAACAATATAAAAGAAAAATGATGTTAGCATATAAAGGACTAAATATTCTCTGGGGAAAGACGGGTTTGTTGCCAGGATACAGGCTACTGTATGAGACGCTAGCAATGATATGTAGTAGTAGTAGGTTATCTGTATGTTGGTTTTTTTTGCTTTTCTTTCACACTTACCATCCAAAGTGTTAGCATCCATTGTTGCACTGAAGTGTCTTGCATGTCATACATTTGCTCTTTCATGAAATGTCTGTTTTGGGTGTGTTCCTCACTTGTTCCTACTGTGTTTATACCAGATGGATTACAGATTTGAGTTTTTACTTTGTGATGGTCATTCAATCATATATCAATAATATTTCAAAGTTTATTCCTGTCTAAAGGAAATGTTTCTCCATCCACATATCTATGTGGCAGTTATTATTCAACGAGGCCTATGTATCTGTGGAACACACCTTAAAAACCCTTTGAAGATTTCGCCTCACATCCTCTGTACTCCACCAGTGGAGGGAAATTAAGCCAATGGACCAAAAAATAGCAGGTGTTGTGGGGAAAGAAAATAAAGAGTGGAAAGAAGAGCTGGGAGTTCAGTCAGTCACATTGGATTCAGTCAGCACAAAGGGTAGACTCATTCCCTCAAATCTGTTCTAAAAATCATAGAAGGGACTGTGTCATTTCAAACAAACAAAATCACTATGTGTGGAACTGCATGCATATTGCACGCATAAAGATATAAATACATACAAAAAAGTAGTGGCTCTGCCTCTGGTTCTGCAGAGCTAGCTTAGCCATTGCATCCTGCCCCACCTACTCAAGACAGAGAATGCAGGACAGACACTGAAAAAGTGTCATACAACTTTTTTAAATATTGGGGAAAATAAATAATGAACTGAAAGACACAGATAGAGATGTTGTGCCTGTTTGAAATGATTCCAGAGCCTGGGGCCCACAGGCTGTGAGCTCCCAGGTCAAGTTGGCAATAGGAGCTGGTACATCTGCTCTCAAAACACTCGCTTTCCAGGGAGGTACTTAAAAAAAATACAATGCACTGAGGCGGCATAAAACAGTGCTTGGCAAGCGTCTGTCATGTAGTTATTGTGTAAATGTGTATGTGTGTCTGTGTGCCTGTGCAGGTGTATGAAATGTGTGTGCATGTCTCATTTCCAGGAAGACAAACACTTGGCTTACACGGTATCCCTGTAAGACAGAAGGAAGAGAAAAAGGTAGAATTAGCAGAGAGAATTGCACTTGTGTAAAGTGTGTGAGTGTGAGAGACGGGGAGAGCAAGAGGGGCACCCTGGTATGCTGCCAAGAGTATCTAAAGGTTTTCTCATCCAATTATGGATTTTATATTTGATCATATTCAAATATATACAAATAAATGCATACACCTCCACACACACCTACTCCATCTCACATGCGTCCACATCTGCCTGTACAACGCACATTGGTATGATGTAACAACATTCTCCGGATCAGTCTTGCTGTGAAGCTTGGCATCCGTTCGAGGCTGAATTTAAAATTTGAATTTATTCAGTCCCTCGCTGCCAATGTTGTTCAAAAAGACCTTGTGAAACCCGTCTAGGAACCTCTGCCAGGTAGTTCACACCTCCACCTCCTCCGCCTGATGTGCTAAAGCAGGAGACACTTTTGACAGCACTGAGAGCCATTTTCAGCCAGAGAACTTACATGGCTGCTGGCAATAAAAGCCAACTTTTTGTGTTGGTCGGTGGGTAGGTGAGGAGGCACTATGGTATAGAATAGCTACTGTGTCCATGTGCTTTAAATGACTTAGCTAATGAAAACAATTGCTAAACTGTTTGCAGTATGCAAATGTAGGTTTGTATGTGTAGCTATATGTGACTGTGGGATAGTGTGAATCTTTATTAAGCTAAATAATAGGTTGCCTGGCCATATGCTCAATAGTGTACATATTGTATATGATTTATGTAGTGTTGCGTATGAGCTACACCATTCGTGGTTATAGTTGTTGCAGTAATGACAGTCTGCTGTGTTAGGGTTGTTATGAGAAGCAGATGAGTTGAAGTTGTTATGTGCGGCAGAATTGAAGCTGCTCTCCGCAGGTTATTGGACATGACATTTGGTGACAAGGATTAGATTTTCCATTTCCACCTTTCTCTCTGTTCCTTACCCTGCCTTGTGAGACGCTGGATCCATGGACACACTGACATGAATCGTTTGAAACATTCATTGCGGCCATCGGATTAACAGACGCCAGCAACAACCAGATGAGAGCCATACTCATCCACAACCTAGGAATCGAGGGACAGCTGATTTGTTTTGACTCTCTAACCGGTTTGCATATACGCTGCATGTGTCATATGGCTGTCTTTACATTCCACTGCCTCGCAGATCAGTATACTGCGGCGGATTGTGAGTAAGTCCACCATTACGTAGCCAACCGCAGGGGCCTGTGTAAGTTTGGGGCACTGGAGGATGAACAGAAAAGAGATCAGCTAGCTGAACACACTAATAACCTGAAACGTGTGATGTCCCCTGACGATTTAACACAGGCTAAAATGGAAATAACATTCTGAATCTGTGGCTGGTTTGGCGTTGCAACTAGCAACCTCCAGCCCCTCCTTCTCCCAGCCCATGCTACCGACAAAGGTCACCTAAGCATTGTGAAAGAAGGGGCTTAGTGTTGTGGCCAGGTATTGGTAAAGACGGCACAGCCTGCATTGTCAGAGGGAAGACTTGCCAGCCGCCGCTGCCAACCTCTGCAGCATTTGCAGTAGCCACCCAAGCCTTGGTAACACATCCAGGTGGACATCTACAGGGAGCTCCATGGCATCCCACAGCATTAGCACGTCCTGGTGGTAACCTCCATTCAAAGTGGCAACAGGGTCCGTTACAGCTCAGGTGGTCACAGACTTCCTTGGCTGTCTGTTTGCTCGGTGAAGCATCCCTAACATAATCGCTACGGATAATGGCCATGAGTTTGTCTCTGCTGAGTTTAAAATCTTTGTGAAGGACCAGGGACTCCATCACATCCGCAGAACTGTCTACCACCTGGAGGCAAATGAGGGGGGCGGCGAGGTTCAACCAGGCATTTGAAAAACTGTGCCAGAGTGCACTTGGCAGATGACCTTCCTTTTTCAGCTGCACTGCTCCGGACCCTGCCGCACTACCGGACAACACCACACTCCACTATGGGCAGCTCCTAAGCCCTTCTAATGATGGGGCGTGAGCTGCAGCTTCCCCTTGGTGCACCACCAGCAGCGCATCAACAGAGTGGCAAGGTTTCAGACCATCAAAGTCACAGGAAACAGCAGTTTGACAAGAGACGCATGTCACCAACCAGCTGGGGCCAGCCACCTTTTGCTTGTTTGACAGATCTTGGTGGCATGCAAGCCGGCAAAGGAAAGTGGCACCGAGATCCATCATAGACCCATAAACTGATGCAGACATAATTTCCCTGCTGAGCAGCTGCAGGTTCCAGTTGGGCACTCACTGGAGACAGCAACCTGAACCCCTGGCTAAACCAGAAGCCCACCTGGCCTGATTCTGGGCCAGGCAACGTTACCTTAAACACTATGTCACAGACCTTTGTCTTCCTAAAGTGTTCAGACCATAGTCGCTCCCTTGGCAGAATAATCCACACGGCTATGTTGGTAACTGGCAGTCTACCAAGTTTACCTAGTTAGGTTGCAAGTAAAGGTTCAAGCATAAGCATACTGAGTTGTTTTCATATGAGGGGAAGCATGGAAAAGCTATATTTCAGTTTGATGGTGCTAAACATCAGCAATAATGCAGAACATGGTGTCCCTGGCATGCATACGATAATAATACACCGCCATAACTGGAGGCAAAAAATTCCATGACACACAATATATTTATACAAGACAAAAGGGATAAAATCAAAAACTGCAGTTTGACAAAAGGTCAAGCTGTAATTATACGTGGTTAGATCTTGTCACCACTGAGAGTTAACTAGTGACACAATTTGAAACAAAATGTTGATATGTCTATCTGCAGTTTAATTTATCTTACTGAATATACTGATTTTAACAACTGTTGTCGACAAAGTTTTAACAATTTCATATTCGCCAGCCAATCAGCAAAATGTAATTTCTGTGGCCATTGTATGATAACTATATCGTTAATTATGTATTATAATTAATTATATATAATAAGTATATTGTTTGTATTTGTCCATTCTGTACAATAGGAAATCTTAACTGTTGACAGGCTATCACATATCAGTTACTTTTAAGTAAGAACCAGCCTCATTAGCAAGTAAGAACTCATAATTGTATCCACTGTCACTTAAAATGAGCAAGCAATGTTCAGTGTCAGTGTCTTGCTATAGCGTACACTGACAGGTCACACAACTGCTGACAGACTCATGTTGGTTCTTGCAGAAACTGAACTTTTGACCTTTTGGTGATGGGACCCTTTCTCTTTAGACGGACTGCCCTGCTGCAGTAACTGTATTTGCCAAAGTAACCGGATGGCCAATATGCATCTATACAGTCTAGTAAAGTAGATGGATAGACGAGACACATTTGCAAAGTCCTATGGAGACCAGATTCTGCTTTGCACGGAAATGACTGGATGATTAATGCTGAGTAGATGAGGTAGAGGGACACCATCTCTGCTCATCCTGTCTTATCAGAGAGGAAGCATGGAACAGGCACTTCACCATGGGAGAGGGAGAGAGAGAGAGAGAAAAGTGGTTGGGGAGTATAGCGGCAGGGAGGGGGTAGCAGAGAGAGGGAGAGTGTGTGTCTGAAAGAGTGACACTGAGATAAAGTGAGAAATAGAGAAAGCAATTGAGTGTGAGGGATGGTAGACGAGAGAGAGAGCCTGTATTTGTGGAGTGAAAGTAGGGGCAGAGATCAATTTTCTTGTGTGATAATTTATCTTATGAGGAATTGTGAATGTTCACATTTCAGCGCTTGAGTGGGCACACAGACGTCCATGTAAACACAGGTAGATGTGTGAGAAATGTGCACACGCAAACACTCAAACTAGGTGACAAAAGCAGATGTAGCAATTCCCTCGAGAAATATGATAGATAGGGGAACGCTGTTTATATTGGTCTTCTTCGCTCCCTGTCTGAGTGGCCTGTAATTGAATGATCATTACACCAAAGTTATGGCTACTGCCCCGCAGTCGAAAATAGGGATTGAGTTGGAAACAGCATTTAGTAGTTTTGATTTATGACCAACAATGAGGAAGTTGTTTTTCAAGCCTGGCACTCTGATGGGCAATAAAGAGGGGCAAGGCTTATCGCCTGCTGTACCCACTCTGACACACATACACCAGTCAGCCAGCCAGCCTGCAACCAGTCAGCCAACCAGCTGGGGCCCTTCATGGAAGGAAGTGTTTTCATCAAATTTGTTTCCTTCATGTCTCGCCCTGAATGGTGCTATTCATTAAAATAGCCTCCAGTCGGTATAGGCACTGCTGCCATGGCACATTTATACACTTGTCCGCCTGTATCCTCACAGAAGTAGACACACACACACACACGCACTTACAAATCCACCTGCACACACACTTGCACAAACAGAGAGTCTTTTCTTCTGGTCCAGCTCATCTTTGCAGGAGGGCCCTCTATATTAAAAGTAAAGCTACAAAGAGATAAAGAGGTATGCTGCATGCACTGTTATCTGCTTTCAGTTGGGGCTTATGGAGCTGTATATTTATCTATCTGGAGTGAAAAGGACGGCCTCCTTACATTTAATTGATGTCATATGTGGATTAAGGTGGATCTAACTGAGAATTAAGGGGTTGCTAGTGTGGGTGGTGCTGCATAGAAATAGCTATGAAATGTGAAGTGTTAACTATGGAAGTGTGAAGCATTGTACGGTGGACTGTGATTCAGCTGTGGCCCAGATCACTGAGCAGGAATGCTTTCATCAGAGCTCGTGTCTACAAAACTTTGAACAGACTCACAGTTCAGCCATATCATATGTGTGTTATTGAAATCTTAACACCCAGCCTCTCAAATTCATCTTCATTAGCCAGATCTCATTTTACCGGGCTATATGCAAATCAGGGCAAGTCATACTCCAGTCCAGAGGGTTTTGATAATGTACTTGACGCTGTTTTTGCTCATCATCACAGGCTCACGCAACTCCCTCAACATGCAGATCACTGCTCCATTATCCATGCAGATCATTCAGGGGAAGCATTGATTAGAGATCAGATATATGCTGTGCATGAACAGTATGTTATGTCTTCTTTATGAATGTAAGTTTTTGTTATACTTATATGTGACTGATATACTTATTTGTGATGCTGGCTAGTTCCAATATTATCTGGTCAGTAAAGATTGACATTTCTTTTTTTTATTATTTTGTGGGAAGTAAATATCCACTACAAACGTCATGGTGGCGGCTAGACTGAGTTGTTGGATTCTTCGACTTGTTGGTACGCAGCCATTTTGTTAAAGTTAAAGTAAATTCTACCACACTATCTGCAGCAACCCTATGTGACAGCTTTTGTCTATGTTAGATATCTTGATTTTCATGGTGAGAGTGATGTAACCAAAATCAATCACAGCGACAATCTGTGGTACACTGGCTGGTCAGCTACAGGTTCAAACACCACTGGGATATACAGTTATCCGCCCTGGGGCATGGTGTCACCTCCTCTTTCCTGTCATCACTCCCCCCACTCACTGCACTTGTTCAGTCATACAGTAGATTTGAATGTATGCTGACATTCTTCTGTTTTGCACACAAGTGTTTACAGAAACACACATGCAAATTAGATTGCATGTTATTTCCGTATTTCTGATTCCTGTTGATTCCCAGAGCCTGAAGGCCACCCTTCTTCTGCTGTCAGGTTCTACTTTCTCGCTTAAAGTCCTTATCAATTAATAGAAACAGTTGAGACAGTGTCACTAAGAGGGTTAGTCACACAGAACTATCCCAGTGCCTGCCAACACTGTCATGTCATTTGACTTGTCTCAGTTCAGGCCTCAGAGCTGTTCCCTTTTTAGAAAAAGAGCAAGGCAGGGAATGAAAGAAGCTGTAGAAAAGCCCCGGAGTTAGGAGTGGTGAAGCCCATCAATAGCATGCACATAAATGCACAACCAGGCATACACATCTGTTTATAGCATTTGGTTGGGACAAATCAGACTCCCAAACTTGCATACACACACACGTGCATAAATAAAGCTTTTTCCTTCAACCGGCAAAACCCATCAGCGCTCACAGGATCCATGGAGGTGATGTATGAGAGCAACATACATCTGTTGTTGTCATCCAAACACCAAAGAGTGATTTCATTTGTTGACAGACATATTGCTTTGGCAATAACAACGCCAGGAGAACTGCCATGCGTTACAACTGTGAATCACGTATATGTCTCAGTTTATCACATGCATTTAAAGACACCACTTGCGAAAATGACATGAATGTGCCTCTGAGCCTCTACGGTCCACGCTGGCAATGACAGTAGCTATCGTGCACATTTTCAAGTGGCATTCTTTGTGTTGCGTGGTGTTTTGATTAAAGTCCCAGATACCACAGCTATTATGTTTTAAAATGGTTCAGCAGAAGTAGATAGGAAACAGGCCAGTAGGGTTAGGGTGTGATAGGCTTTTATAATCACCATCTAAAACCTGTAATACTTTTCTTGCAATCATTAAGACTATAGTTCACTGTGTATGTAAAGCACAGACACCTACAGGCTATGAGTACTGCAGCCTACAGTGCTGGACACATCGAAACATTGAATGACAAATACACGGCCTGCCAGTTTTGCCTGGTGGTCTTATATTGCAGTTGTAAAATGACTATTGTATTAAGAATGTGACCAACTCTTCCACTCTGCTGACACATTTGAAAAAAAAAGCCATATGGTAAATAATTAGAGCTGGAAGTGTAAGAGCTTTGTGTGGCTGCTGAATAATACATCAACTTAGACATTACAACCAGATTATTATATTGGGATAGTTCTGTGCACTGAACCATGTGGTATGGCTTATAATGTGACTTTAAATATGGATTATTGTGCTCAGAATCAACACATACATTATAGACTCAATGTGCAATATAGTGTGTGATGTGGTGTTTTTGACCAAAGGTACAAACTGCAACATCATATAGACACTCATTTCTCTATTCTTATGTTAAATAATAAGACAATAACAAATTGCAAGATCCAACAACTTTGATGAAGTCAAACAGCTCAAGAGCATATGCACCAACTTTGAAAGCTGACAAATAATTGTCTTGAAAACATTTTCAAAAGTTAAAACAGGCCAGGTATTTTTTTGCGGTTGGTCTTTATTCATTTTTTAATAAATTTAAAAAAATGTGTTCACAATTAGAAGTTTAAAGATGCGGTCGTAAACTTGTTCACGTGTCCTACCAATCTCATCAATGCACACACAAATACAGAACTTGCGCGTATGTTTGAGGTTGAGCGAGATTTACCCAAACAAATTATTTTCAGACGAGGAGGTGCAGGAATTATTCGTAATAAACATGCCATCTACTCACCTGGACATCTCCATCGTGTCCTTAGTGAGATAGACAATCCAGTAAACCAGGTTGAAGGCGCCAAACGAAAGTGGGAAGAGGATGCGGGAATATTTGTCGATGATGCTGGTGCCCGTCAGGACATTGTTGTCTGGCACAGCTGAACCCTGCTGCAGGAAGGCTTGGGCATTGACAGGTGGGTTGGGAAATGTTTTGGCAGGGCGGTCAAACAGCGGGGTAGAGTTCATCCTCTTCTTTAGCACACTCCTGGCATCCACCTTGGAGAGGGAAAAGGGAAAATGTATATGATTGGTATGAGGAAACTGACATTAAAGAGAATAGTACATGATGTAATATGAGGGTATTAATAATGAAACGGGTGCTGCGCTGTTTCCAGAGACATAAAATCATCGTATGTTATGTGCTAAAATATTAATGCTGTGGCACAAACTGATTGTGAAGGGACAACTTGCTATAATGGAATATATATCAACACATTACACAGAGAGTAAGAAAAATTATATAAAAAATAATCCTGATGTTAGTGCCATAATTACACAGCTAGTTAATCACTGCATGTGGGAAATGTGTGTGTCTGCAAAAACTGTCTCGGATACCAATGAGTACCACAGGTAATTAAGCTCAACAAAGGAAATCAATGATATTCTGTTTTCCATTTGATGTGATTTCCATCAACCCGTTCCATTAAGATTGATAGAGTTATGGGAAGCAAACAAAACATCTTAAACAAAAGAGACTTGCAGTATATTGACACATAGTTAGTGCTACGCCTCATCAGATTTGAGTAAATCAGTGTGATCTCAGCACATACTGCCTTCTCCAATAGTTATAAATCAGCTACAGTATGTGTATGGAGCGAAAAGGGAGAATACATCTTGGAAATGGGTCAAGGAACACCGTGTTGCCTGTAGTGTCGGAGAGAGTGAGAGAGACAATGAAAGAGAGCGAGACATTTCTTTTTATAAAGATAACAATACTCTGTAAATTACTGTATCAACCTGAAGAGCCATAGAAATAGTACAAACAGCCATTTCTTGATAGATCAAGTAATGACCTAACAGTAGCTCCATTAATATGGAGATGAGCATTATGGAACATTTATACATTTTATCTCTATAAAAACAACATAATAATGAAATATTTAGCATATTGTCATACAACCTTATGATTGCAAGACTGTTTACAATGTCATACAATGTTTACATTTGTTTTTTGGTCATTTGGAACCCATGTGGGCGTGTAGCCCCCAGCTAATGAGCAGGAAGGGCAGCTCATTCTCATTCCCGGGTCAAACACTGCAGCTTTATCCCGCCCCTCGGTGTGCTGAGGCTCACATACCTCACAGGCCTGCATGCACAGAGAGAATGGACCACAGCAAAAGGAAGCGTGCCTTGGGCTGCATTCATTAAAAAAAATCAGCCACCTTCCCGCAGGTTTGCGATGAAGTATGAATCTGTTTATCTGTTCCTTAGAACGTAACCGTCTTGAAACAATCAGAAAATAATGTTTTATTCTTTTCATTCACAGTTTTGTTCTCACAGACAAATCCCAGAGGGATCCTCTCCACTGCTGAGAATTTCAACAGAACCACTTTGACACAGGGAGGAAGGGCACTGACTGATGGATGTACTGATGGATGGATGTATGTATGTATGTTTGTTTGTTTGGGTGCGGGTATTGATATGCATGGGTGGGAGCTACATGTAAGTGTGTTTCATTATGTATGCGTAGGTGCGTGTGTGAAATAAGGTTACTCTAACTGTGCACTACCAATATTGGTTGGGAGAAAGAGGAATGAGGTTCATCTGAGTGGGTGTTGAGTGGGTGTGTATACACTTATGGATGATCATAAATGGAGGAGATGTGGAGCAGTACGTACTGAATGCATCAGCTATAATACTGTACTTTCATTGTTTAGTTTTAGAAAGTAAGAGAATAAAAGTGAACATCAGTCGGGATTAAAAATAAAATATACAAAGATTATTTTATGAATTGGTGTTTGTGTCATGATATTAATTCTTAAGAATATCAACCAGTAGAATATGGAATAAAACTGAAAAGGGAGAGATTACCTGATCATCAGCTACAAATAAAATGTAAGGTTACGTCTTTCACAACATCCTCTAAATATTACACTGCATTCTCAACATGAACTGTGGAAAACTTACACCAATGTTGACTGACATGCAAGAAAAAAAACATTGAAAAACTTTTCTGACTTCTGGTTATGACAAATCCTGCTCTTCCTTCTCTTAGTTATAAGTTCATACTTTAACCACTAGCTTCCTATGTGAAGTGAACACTAAAAAAACGATTAGGCCTTCTAAAACGCAAGTGATAACATCTCCCCATTTGCAGTCATATAGTCTCTCTTACACAAAGCTTAGAGGAAAAGTCAAACATTTCACTAATGCCTTTTCTCTATTCGGAGTGATACAGTGGTTGCTCAGGGCTAAACTTACATTTATGTCCATCATTTCAGCAGACACTGCTCTACTTCTTTTCTTTGCCGAACAAATATTAAGTCTGCCGCGGGCACGCAAGAATGTTGGCTTTAAACATTGGTTAAAACAAAGATTTTGATGTCCCCCTAATGTTTTCTCAGTGGGCCATGCGTTACCAAGTCACAGAGTAATGTGTGTGTGCTGAGGTTAATAACAACAAACACTGTGAATGTAGCCTATCCCTATTGTATCACTAATAATCCAGACTAACATATACATCAAACATTCTTAAAACCTGTATGACAATTAAAGATAGTGTTTTGGAGCAAATTTTGATGAGCATTACCACGTTTTATTCACGCTTATTCTCTACTAGGACACAAGCGGTGACACATGATGACGTGCATGAGCAGGAGGTTGACTAAATACCCTTCCTTGCTGATTGCAGATGTCAGTAATGCAAATGATTAGTGCATGCAAGCCATACATCACGGATTGCCTAATCAACATAAAAGGGGTCTCTTGGTTTTTCAACCTATTCCACTGATCACAGTACAGTTATAGTGGCAGGCCTCAAGGATACACACAGCGTATTGTGTGACAACCAAGAAAACTCCACAGGTAGCTCTAGGTACAGTGCACGACATCTGTTGTCAAATCTCTGGCCGGAGCTTGAAAATCAGAACTCTCAGGACTAATTATCAGGACACTGTGACACCAGGTTAATGCTTGGAAATCAAACCTGTCCCGATGTAATCAGGACCCGTCTATAAATAAAGGTCCCCTCTTTCTCTCTCTTTCTCTGTTCTCCTGTATTTCCTCCCACCACTATTTTATTTTCTGTTTATTTCCTGCACCACATACTGCACCGCCTACTCACACAAGCCACTGAAAACGCATGCAGCAGCCTTTACTCACACACGGATAAACACCCCCGTCCCCTTTGTGTTTACATTCGTATATCTAACTCATTAAATGGAACATTTATCTTGTTGCTGTGAGGTGTCCTTTCCTGTTATGGCTTTACCTGACAGTCATAACAGGTAGTGTTTGGCGTGACTGTTGGATGGCTATTTCTATCCCCAATGATACACCATTGTGTTTCTTTCCCTTTTCTCTGTGTAATGAAGAGTCTTTCCTCCTACATATTTGTTGAAAGCAGTCATTTTCCATGATGCATCCCTCCTACTCTCTTTCTCTCAGAGTAACTCTCTCTCTCTCTCTCACATACGCAACACAAAAACAAACCCCACTGGTCCCCCGCATCCATCTCTCCATCTTGCGCTACAAAAAACGGACTGGGCCAGCTTTCTCAGCCCCCACTCTACTGGCTGCCCTCCTTCATGTGAGCCTGCAGTGATCTGCTGGATATTCCCTTAATCTATGGCTGTTACATAATCTGCAGCAACATCGTTCACAGAGCCACTGGCTGTCTCCTCGTGTCACTCTGTGGTTATCACACAGTTACAGGGCAGAATAGAGGACTGGGAGAGAGGGATGGATTGATGATAGATGTGCTGAAGGATGGATGGATAAGGCATCATATAGAGTGATGAGGGAATTGTGCGGATGTGGGGGGCATAAATTGCTGCAGATTACATGTGTGCATATATACAGGCCTGTATGAGGGTCTGAGTGTGTGCTGCAGATTATGTGTGGACGAGCATTCTTGTGTTGGGCTGTGAGGAGAAGCGTGGATAAAGTGGAGATTGTGGCGTTTCAGTGTGTATATGTGGACAGCACATTCAAACAAAAAGTGAGGGAAAAAGAGGTGTGTGTGTGTGTGTGTGTGTGTGTGTGTGTGTGTGTGTGTGTGTG